AATACTTTAATATTTTTAACGATTTGTTAAATAAAAAAACGAATATTTTAGCGGGTATAAATATTGAAGAGGGTTAACTTTTTAGCGTTGAAGCTATATAGGGCTTTACTATTTATTCGTTTAAAGCGTTTAATAAAGGTTAATGAAATAAATTCGATATTTCTAGTAATTAGGCTAATCCGTTCTAAGTTAGTTAATTCCGTAGAATACTAAATTAAGGCCAATCTTTGGAAATAGGTAGTCCAAACTTCGCGGACGGCTTAAATAGAACGTACGGTAGCTATATATTTTAAATATTCTATAAAAATATAAATATTAACGAATATTATTGTTTTATTTTACTATACTACGTTGTTACTATTATTATTTTTCTTTTTTAACTTTCGATTAAAGTAATTGACTTCTGTTATTTTTAAACTTAACGATAGTCTAGGACGGAGAACGGCGGCTAAAGTTTAGGTTATAATTTAGGTAATTAGTTAGGCGATTTCGTCCGCTATTAAGAGTATAGTTCCTAAGCGAATTTATTAATATTAGGGAGTTTATTAATATTGAGGTTTAGGATTAACTCTACCGAATTTAAATTTTATAGCGGTAAAATCGTTAATTATATTAATTATAGTTGATCTGTTTAATAGATTTTTATTGTTAACCGATTTAGGGATGTTTTTTAAGGAGCTAGACTCTTTTAGAAATATTCCAGGGGACCGATGTAAATTATTGAAATATAGAATATAATAGGGTATTAAAATAGATAGGTCTAATAGTAGGATGACGAATAGGGGTTGGTAAGAGGGGGTTAAATTTAGTTAAAGTTAGAGCCCTAAGAGGTAGGGTAAGGAAGTTTAAATTAGAAGTTTGGTTTTAAAAATATTTTTTAAAGTTAGGTTTAGTAATATTATTTGAATTAATAATAGTTAATTCTAAAATAAATTCGTTAAGATATAGTATAATTAAATTAGAAAGAAGTTTAGGACTTAGGTTTTTGAAATTTGACTGGGTAAATAAAAGATTAATATTTAGTACGTTAATAATATTAGTATTAAACTTTTTAAAAAATTGGTTTCAGGAGGGGGTAGGAATTTAGTTAAACGGGGTAAGTATTCAAGAAGAACGGGTAATTGCGTTTAAAATTATTAAATTAGAAGTAAATAGGGGAGAGGGAAATTGCTTTCGAATTCTAAATATAGAAAATTACCTTTATATTAATATAGAAAGTATAGGGAATTGCTAACCGCAAATTTAGAAAGTTAGCACTATAAATACGGGTTCGTTTTATTAATCTTCGGCGGTTTAGTTAGGGTATTAAATTCGCTCGATAAAATTATAGCAGTTCTTCTAAGCTTGGAGGGTCCTATTGAATATATATTAGGATTTAATTTATTCGATAGGGTAAATACTTTTGTAATAATTGTAGTAAAAGTCTAGGTTAAAAATAATTTGTTTAGCGATTTTTAAATATTTGTCCTATATAGATTAAGTACTTAAATAACCGGTTTAGTAGAATTTTTAGAGTTAACTAATGGTCTCTTTAATTTGCTCTATAGAAATTAATAGTATTAATTTGTCAGATTCGAAGAAATTAATAGTATCGATTCGCGGGGTTAAGGTGGATTCGGATTTTTCAGTTTGTCGGAATTGAATATACGTATCGGACGCGGGTCTTATAGGAATCCGGTATTGAATTTAAAGACGGCGGATTTAAAGTAGAAAATTGTTAAATTGGACTTGAGGCTAGTTGGAGTTGAGGGCGATAATTTTAATGTCAAAGCGAAGTAGTTAATTAATTAGTACTAAATTAGACGACGCAATAATTGAGAGGATAGTTCCTAAAGTAGAAAATAAAGAAATTAATAGAATTGATTCTAGGTCTTAATATAGGAAGCAAAAAAAATTAATAGTATTAATTCTTAACATTTAAGTTTGGCGATGTTCCGAAATGGGGATCGCGGGGTTAATAGCGCTAAATCAAACTTACTATATAAAAAACGCGTTCGACGCGGGCTTAATAAAGTAAATAAATTATTAAAACTGTTAAAACGACAGGGAATAATAAAGTATGTTCGATTATTGTGTAGGCACTACTATTAATACTAGAGGTATAAGCAAGGCGAAAGCAACCTGTATGTATAATATATAATATATTCTATAGAATCTAAGGTACTATACAAAGTGTATAATGCACTAGCTATATATACAGGGCACAGAGTACAGAGTACGCCTGCCTTATATGTGCATACTTAGGAAGCGCTAACAGCAATTCCCGTCATTATTTGCATTTACGAATGAAGGAACGTCTATCTACCGTAGTCTCAGGCAGTAATTTTGGGCGAGATATTGTGCGGAAATCTTCGGGTTAATCATGTGGTAAATGTAACGTGCCAGTGATCAATGAATGCTCCTTCTTCTTTACCATCGCTTACACCAATCTTGCGCCCCGCCGTGCCGCAATCACAGGGCTAAACTTTTGAAAGAAGGCAGTCGCGTCTGCCGATGCAATGCGTGATGTATTCAAATTTTTGCTTTGGCTGAGGACGAATGCTGTCCAGGGCACTGCGGGGTACAAGACCTTTCCATGTCTGTTCTCTTTCCCCTTCGAGTTCTTGCAACGATCATTGGTTCCTCTGAACTATCGCCTTCGGTTGGCCTCTACCACTTCATTCCTGAATCGCCTCAATTCTTCCTCGACCTTTTGCTCTCTTCCTGACAAATTCGCGACGCGGCGATACGATTTGCGGCATGCGGATGGATCAAGAATGTGCCCCCGGACCCCGCCGTGCCCACCTCCGGAACGACCTACTCAGATTTGTTATCGCACTATCTGCGCCTCGCGGGAAACCCGAGTACCCATGATAGAGGTCCATCTCATTCAAACTCCATTCAACATCCACATCCACGCGCGACCCCCTCCCCCGTCAAATTTCAACGTCAGATGGACCGCAATATGGACTGGCTTTGGCTCAAGAAATATGTCACATGCCCTCCTGCATTATGGGGTGATATGAAGGTTTTAGCTAACGGTTTTGGATCCAGTACCGCGAACTCGACAGGCGCCGGACCGGATCGGACGACGGCAGGGTACGGCACCCGGGCACGGACAAGCACCCCCGATGGCATCCCATTTTTCCCATCATCATTTCGACTTCACGTAACTCGAATCGCTCTCTATCGGCCCAGCGGCTCGAATAACCGAGATATAAGACAGAAGCTATCACAAGGGGGTAGTTCCTGCCGTTCTGCTCGCCACCATTCAGTAAGCAACTTGGAGTCAAGTGATCGTTATCTACATCCCGGCTACAAAACAGTACGAAGAGCGGCGATAACCGCGCAAAAATACATCGGGATTGAGAGTCATTGGCCTCGATGGGTCAGATCCGAGACGGGGAGATGGAAGATTAGGGAGCATCATGTGAAGAGCACGAATGCAGCGAATCAGGCCAAGCGGCACAAATTTCGGGATACACTCGACCAGCAAGAGGAATCCCATGTCTCAGGAACCCACAATCCCATCAACCCAATAACGAGAGGATGGCAATGTCACGATGGGGTTCTCGGCCTTCATTTCCTTATTCAATTGCTGGAGGCCCCTCTGCAGATTCTAGCGGAGCTGGCTATGGTGTCTGAGATGCTGTTGCGTCCTATGGTGGGAGTTTAAACTGAGTGTGGATGGGACTCGGTGAGCCTTCCTTTCTTTTTCTCTGTGATGCTTTTCGATATCTTCTCGGAACCAAGCGGATCCGTCCTCGTCGGCGTCAATCAGATGGACTAGACATGGGTTTACCGAGACGAAGCGATGGTTTCTGATGACCCGTGAAATGTTCACGGAGACTTATGGTCCCCGACTTGATAATTCTGTGGAGAGCGCCTTCCGATGAACATGGAAGAATTGTGAAGAGGATTCCGCAAAGGGATGATGAGTTCGAAACCCAGTTGCAATGGCCCTGAGTCAAAGAGGTGGATGCCTTCCTTCCGAAGAGTTTCGGACTGGAGATAGAGTGTCTTGCGTGGTTTGACTGGAGAGTATTCAGTCAACATGTCTTAGCAGTCCCGCGGAACGATGATGCGACTGCGATGCGAACAGGTAACACCCGACGGATGGAAGCAGCGGGTATGTTGGCATCATCGGAAACTGTTGACTCAACCGAGACGAACGACTCGATCGAAGATCTGAGACAGCCAATGTTCGCTGCAGTGTCACGGGAAGACCCAAGATATAAGCGGCTTCGAAGTCGATGACATATGAGAGAGCTTCCAACAACTTGTTATCTTGCCGTTTTTTGCGGCGATGCAACTCTTCCTGGCCGGTCGAGCGATTGGTGATCGAGAGGAATGCTTGAGATGAGCACGTGGGGATTTCTGGGGGTTGTCGACAAGGATTGTGCGAAAAGGCAATTAAACCCCTGACTTCGATTTCCATGTTATAAACAACCTCTGGAAATCCTCGATTTAATGGCCCAGTGCCCCCCTCGTTCTTTGAACTCACGATCAGAGTCGCTGAACACCTATCGGAAGTCAACCGATTGGTCGGAGCAGGATTCTTCTTATAACCCCCAATCTTGGAGTGGGAGCTCTAGATGGCCCTTTAGGCTTCCGTCACATTTTGCGATCTGAGGTGGTATCGCCGTGGATCTGGATCGATTTTGCCCCCAAACCTGAAAGTCGGGAAGCAAGATCGGATATCTTGCTTGCAATTCCGGTGTTGTGGTGCTAACGTAGAGGTATATGATTGGCTTGCGGCGCTGAGAGGTTGTGCATCGCGATTGCCCTGCTCATCGAATCAGATTTCTGAACGCATTCCTGTCAGCTGGCGGAACGACATTTCGTGATAGGTCAGTACAAGTAACCACAGTATGACACTCACCAGAGTTGACTTGACGGATGAATAAATCTTCTAATGCAAATACTTCCTCGCTGACGACATACAGGAGGGCGACAGCCGCCGAGAAGAAAGGCAGATCATATCCGCTTTGTTATTAGTGCTCGCTAACCCTGGACACGAAACGCAAGGGTTGTGATTACCGGCAGACTGGATCTCAAGCAGATCCGGCGCCGACATCATCACTGCAGCACTGCATGTGACGCGGCTCTTTTCGACCTTTTCCGACTGGGCAGAAACACAGCGTTCCTCTTTTGATCCACGTGGCTCAGAATGCCCCCTCTGATCGCAGAACGCCAACTACCTGGAAACAAATGTGATGCGCATCTCAAGCCGACTCATCCTTGTACCCCAGCGCCAAACAGTTGGGTGTTGGCGATAGCATCAGGTCTTAGCATACCCGTTTGATGCTGTTGGCAGAAGTTTTCCACGAAAACGTCTCGAAGATCAAAGACATCCAAGTTCATGATGGCCTTCTGCCTATCATGAGAGGCGTGGCTTTTGTGAGGGCATCCAACTTGAGAGTGCTCATCTCGGACCTCATTGGTCCCTGCATCATAACCGAGCGCCACAAACGATCTGTCACGTTCCTTCCCATCTGGCAGCGAACGGGTGGGACTTGCTAACACACAACCGGATCTTTGTCCGAGACTCCCCAGAAAGAGCCCCTGCTGACGATCAGGACCAACATTTTCCATGGGGACGCGGATCGGTCTTTGACATCATCGCCAACCTTTGAACTCCATCACGAGGCGAGCACCCTGAGGCTAACGACCCGGGCCCGGATGAAGATGACGCCGAGGGGAACTAACGAGACAAGTCGCTATCAGGGAGCTCACAAAGCCCAATGATATTGTTGGATCGCTCATTTCGATGAAAGCCGACGCCCTGGCCCTGCTGAACGACTGCGTATTTCCGGCGTACAGAGACCCGAACCTTTCACCCGAGAGACATACCTAGATCCGGATCACAAAATACGTTGGTTAGGGTAACTTAGCCCCATCCATTTCGGATATCACAGTCATCCAAATGTGGTACTGGAAGGCAGGCCATACCAGATCAGTGCATGAGATCCCATAAGCCTACTACCATGACCCACGGAACGATCTCCGGCTCGAGATACGGTGAAGAAAACATCAGCTTAAATCATCTCAAGTGGATGAACAAGGATGAAAGAACAAGAGCTCATAAGTATTCTGGTCAAGCCCCCCCGAACCGATGACCTCTCCCTGGACAGCTCTCCTCTTGGTATCACGAACATCGGATTAATAATTCTTTGTCGACCTGAGATATCCCTTAACGAACTTGAACTTCCAACACCCAGTCACGAACTAGGATCATCTGACGGCTCAGCCCTACCTCTATCAGGCCCCAGCCTTAGACGCCCATTATCATCATCATCAGACAAAGAGGACTGTATCATCGGATCCAACCCGGACCAAACGATTGAGTTGAAAGGATGTCGTCGTCAGTATCAAGCAAGGTATTACACTCACCTACTACCAACGTTAATTTCCCACCGTCTTCCTTTGTGATCAACATGGACCAACGTGTTGTTGGCGTGATGAGATCGTCGTCTTCGCCGGTGTCTCTCACGGTTGTTAAAGTATAAATCAGGAGATGGGCCCAGAGACTTCACGATATCATCACCAACACCAGCAGAATTATCTCACCTCATAAGCTTCACGCAAGTGATCATCAAAACATTCACTGACTCAACATCAACTCATCAGCATTACATTGCAACAACCCACCATCGTTCCAAGATGTCCACCTCAACCTCCGGCGGAAGTTCCTTTGTCGTCCAACCCCCACCGTTCATCCTGACCAAGCAGAACATCAACATCCTCGCCGTCGTCAAATATGGCCCATTGCCTTCCACGTTAACCCCCACCAACCTTCACGCCTTCCTCTGTCTCGGAGATCAGTCCAATGAACCTTTGGCGGACATGAGCGTATACCCAACACAAACGGGCCAGGGAATTGCCGTCACCGGGGTGGCCCTTCCTGGGGAGGGGGCATTCGCCTTCTTCCTCTTCCACAACGCCACGTTTCCCAAGGCTGGCACCTACAAGATTGGCGTTTCGATCCAAGAGGACAAGATCAATGCGACCAATATGGCGCAGGTTTGGTCCGGGGAGTTTACGGTGGGCGATGTGGCGGGGAATATGACACGTAGTAAGTTTTCCAGAAGAAGAAACATTCCTCCATCCCCCCCCCCCCCCCTTCACCGTGGCACTGCCATCCACCCGGAGTTCACGGTTTAGGCCGAGGGGACGTGTCACTGGAACATGAATCAGTTGCTGACTAGATCTTTTTCTGTTGAAGCTCCCGATGAACAAAGCATAATCGACAAGCTCCAAGCAGCGGGGGTTTTCGGTGCGAACTAAAGCCCATAGGCTCATCGGAACAGTCTTTGCGTTTCTTACCACTGGAAGACTGGACGGGGACCGGACGAAACGTCATTTTTGACAGGACTGTCTAGAGGTATCCTACTGGGTCAAGATTCGTGGAGTTTTTCAAGGCGTCATAGGGTGTTTTGGACCTACTACGGATAACTGTCGGGAAGCAAAGTTGGAACTTTCATGGGCTGGCTTACACTGGATTGGGATCGGGAGGATTTTTGGTTTGGGATAAGGCCGGCTGGTACGGCCACATAGGTGACGATGATGCGGACGTAGAACTGACTTTTCTGTCGTCCTCAACTTTGACAGGGGCACCTTCCCTTATGGTTATGGCTCATAAGGCGGAAGATAGAACAGTATTAATTGAGGCTGTGCCTTTGTTACTCCATGATCAAGTTCATGCTTTGTGCTTGGCAAGCGGTAACTTGCCGTTTCGTCAACCAAACTCGCAGTTGGTTCAAAAATGATTTCCCAATGGAATGAGATGCAGGCTTATCGGAATTGACGCAGTGCTTGGTGACAATCTGTTAGCAAAGTAACGCACGGACATCCATTGAGCGCTTGGCCCGCCCCCACTGAGCACGAAATGCAGATGGGAACGGCATCATCACACCTTATCAGATCAAATCATAAGAAACAAGTATCGAACACGGAGGATTTCATCTCGAACTTCGTTATATGCAGGTGGCTGAACTTCCTTTCTGCGCCATAAGTGCCTTCATGCGTGCGCAGACGAGGTCCTGCATAAAAAGTGACCGTGACTTTTCCCGTTCCTGCCCCAACTTTCCCCGCTGTTGTCCCCTTCCATCCGGCAAGGCAGGCATGCAGTGCCGGTATCTTATTGCTTCCTGCAATAATCATACGGCTTCGATCCATTCCTTCCCTTTCATCGTTCAATCCATTCATGTCATCTCGCCAACCGGATCATCGTCCGTTTCTTCCATCCCTTCCCATCTTCTCCATCCCGTCCTGCATCAAGATCGCAACTTCCATCTTAGAACACAATTGGGGCGCTCCATTGTTGCCGCGCTCGGTTCTTCCTCTCAGTCTCCTTTGATCATCTACTTCTTCTTGCACTTCCCACTGTCGACACAGGCCACGGCGCTGCACCGATCAACTTCGCTTCCTGCCGTCCACACACAGCCATCACAGCCACAATACTGCTCGCCCTGGGCCGTGGAAGTCTCTGAAGTGCAGAACTTCATGAGGTCATCCCAGAGTTGGGACTGGATGGACGGGGTGTAGTTGTTTTGTAGGGAGGAGCCAGTGCTTATGAACGCGGAGCTGGCTGTGCAAGTGCTGCTGTTCGCCTTGCTGTTGCTCAGGTGGGACTCTGCCGTCTTGTAGGACGAGGAGCCGGAGCCGGAGGTGAGTTGGGATGAACGGCCGAGATGGGAGGAAGAAGGGTTGGAGGCCGGGGTGGAGATGAAAGGACTGCTGGACAAGAGGTCGCTGATGTCTTTCTGGGCTTGCTGTCTCCTTGGGGTGTGGTGGGAAGAAGGCAGGGAGATGTGAGATGAAGCATTGCAAGTCTTCGCATCTTTGTTTCCATCTCTGCTCAGACGGCTATGGACATTCACGGTATAACTGGACAGCTCAGACACCTTCGATGTCTTGCACGCACCCAGGTCGCGATCGGATGAACGCGAGTTTGTACCAACAACAGCTACACAACTACTATTGTCACTCATCTCAGTCCAGAAGCTTTTGGCGGTATTGAATGATGCTTTTGGGACTTGGGACGCCCTGGAAGCAGTAGTGCCGTTGGAGGAGGTCACATCAAGCTTGGAGTCAGACACTGGAATGCGAGTACCACAATTGGCATTGCCGCTGCTACCGCTGTCGATTTTGTTCCAAAATCCTTTGGCGCTTTGGAAAGTAGGGGACGAGACGGAAGATGGAATAGACGACCTGGTGGAAGCCAATCTGGACCCAGAAGGACCAGGCTCTTTCCTGAGGGGAATAGAGGTGGTTGTGACGGAAGAGGGAATCAATGCCTTGGCGGAAGCCGAATTGCCGTCAGACGAAGCTGGCGTGGACTTGGGGGGGAAGGAGGACGTAAAGCGTCTCGGTTTGCCCTTCAAGAATGACGTGGTCGGGGGTGGCAAGGGCTTTTCCTCGGTGATGCTGGACTGACGGTGCTGACGAGAGCCACGGGAGCCCGTTGTGATGACCTCCGGCTGGCTTTGGAATGAAAAGCTACGTGACGGTTGTGATGAGTTGCCGAGGTTTGGCTGAGGATTGTTCTCGGACTTCAGCTTTGAGGGCTCTCTTTTTCGCGAGGAATTGGCCGTGAAGGGTTTGTCTTTGGCTTGATCCTTGTCATTGGGTACCTGGTCGAGGTTAGCCTTGTTCTAAGTTTCACGTTCGAGATATATGAGCACTAACTGATGAGGGTATGGTTTTGGTTTTGGGGAGGCGGAGGGAGTCCTTGGCCCGGGGAATGCGCAACGGCGCTGGAGCATCTTGGGGTACCAATGGGCTCGGCGGACGTTGGGGAGCCTGTCGGGTTGGAATTCCCGAAGCTTTCGAGGCAATGGCAGCCTTGGAAGGCGATCGGGAATGGTGCGGCTTCGAGTCGTCCGTCTGCGCAATCTTGGCCTTTGGTCGGGGAATGCTTGAGCGTATGGATTGGCGCAGCTCGCAAGGCCGATGTTCCTTTGCGGTCATCTCTTCCTCTTTCTCATCTGTGGCTTGTTTTTGTTCCTCCATTTCAAGATCCCTTTTTCTTTCCGCGGTTTGCTCTCTCTCCAGGGTCGCCGGCTCTTCCTTCTCTGGGGTCGGCTGCTCTAACGGATCTGCCCATCGGACTGCCTTCTTGTTTCTGTTCCGCGACTCAGACGCACGCGGATGTGGTGTCTGTGCCCGTCCTCGGGAAGGCGTCCAAGAGTTGGGCCTCCCTCTCGGAGCGTCAGCCTGCGGGTCGTCGTCTTCGGGGTAGGGTAGTTGATCATGGCAATCAGCCTGCGGGATATCCTCTTCGGAGTCTAGACGATCGGGCGAGTACGGGCGAACGGCTTGGGTAGTTGCAATGCTTTTGTTCTCTTGCTTCTTTCTGATAGGGGACCGCTTGAAAAGCCCGACTATGGCCCCTCGGAGGGAGTGCGCTTTGCCCTTGTGATCGCGCATTTTGTTGGTTTTGCTTTCAAGGCTAGCGTGCAAGTGGTGATGGAAGAAAGTCGGCAATGGTGGTTTGGGAGATTGTTGTTACAATGTGGTTCTGTGACTGGAGATGACTGCCGCTTGGGATGAGGTTAGGTCTGTATGTTGTGATGATGCAAGAGGGTACACTCTTCCAGAGTTCATGGGATATACTGAATTCCCAAGGTTCCATGGTCGCTGATATTTACACGGTCGTCGCCGTGGCGACTGGTGTTGTTGTTTGCCTGAAGGCTTGAACACCGGTGAACAGCATTACTGTCCATGATCAGTAAGAAGGAGGTGGGATGTTCATACTCGGATACCGTCCGAACATAATGGAAGGGATATGATCAAGGTTCTCCGAGAACAATGCCATTGTCTCATGGATAGTCCCGTTGATGAAACAGGCACATAAACTGAGGATTAACGGGCGGGTGAGGAACATAAACATGACGCCGTCGATGGCATCAGCTTGGGAACCAGAAAGTCACGACATAAAATAGCTATATACGGCTCTTCCAATCGTAGCTGAAAATAAATGGTAGTGGTCCAAAAAGTATCTGATGGGTCAGAAGATGACACCAAGGGAGGACGGTGCTACCAAAAAAAAACATGCAGTCAAATGAAGACAATCGAGACACTCGACGAAGATGCCACATTGAGAGGCAAATGTGGTTTATAGGACCTATGGATATCTTCTGCAAGGCTTGTAGTATTCAGTTTTTGTACTTATTTGTCTGGAATTTTCATCAGCGGACAATGCAACGACGTCAAAATAAGCCTCTGCGGCTGACAGAGGTAACAAAGCATTTGTCCCAACAAAGCATCTTCATCCGTGCCGGATTGCTCGGGCATGATTGACAACACATCCTATCTGCCCAACAAGCAACTTTCTGTAGCAAACTAGACAATTGTTTGGGAAATTCAATCATGCTCTTGATCGGTTGGAGAAAGGGATTGAAAACAAGAGGGTGTTGCAAAAATGAAGGAAAACCACAACATCTGCGAAATGCTTGTTCCTGCCAACCGAACCGAATTACCAATCCGGATTGAGATGCAACCTTATCTCAAGCGCTGCATATTGTGGTAGCACTCTGTTAATGGAGTAACACCTACGTAGTCACAACTGTTCCCGTCTGAGCCGTCACGTCGCTAGACCTATGCCGCCCGACACCGTCGGCATTATACATTTCGGACGTGAAATGACAAGATATATGGATAACTTCCGTAGTTCCCTCTCCAACGACTTTTCGAGTGTTGCCAAGTATTTAGGAATGCGCTGGCTGTTCTTCGTTTTGCTATCTTTTGTTATCTTTGGTACGCACCTACCTAAGGTATCTACCATCATCTGCCTGCTTGCCGCGCCTTCAATGTCGGTTCATTCATGTCGGTCCCAAGCCGAGGTAAATTTGGGGTTCAGCACTCATTGCTGCAGGTGAGCACAGTCCAACTTCCAACTTACGTCTCGTCGCTCCTCCGTTTCTTCTCCTCCTTTCTTTCCTTTTTCCCCAACTGAAGGTTGCCAGCTGATGCGCTTCGGCGTGTCAGATAGGCATTCATTATCATTTTCCCCGTTGATATGGATGCACCAGCTCTGGCATAGATTGATATTCTTTTTGACCCATTGCTGGGCACCCACGTTGAGAGATCGTTCCGATCTCAAAGATAAGGTGGGAATCAGTAGAGGTTACATTTCTTTGGCAATGCCGCTTTTGGCGTCAAGTTTCACGGCCGAAAAAGTCCGGCCTGTCCTCGGCAGACGTCGTCTACCGAGACTCTACTGGGGTTCCGTCCCCGAGATTCCAGGACGGGCTGCTTTCCCTTGCTTCAAATTTCCATGAAGCCAAGCTAACGAGCCATTCGCAGAAGAACCGTACAATCCCGCTCGACCATCTCGTTACACCTCTTCCCTCCATTGCGCGCCGTAATACTACCGGCACTCGACGACAAGGACACTTCAATCCCCGCGGCGACCTGTCTCTACATTCCACGTCCAGCAACACGGCTCGTCTTGGCCCAAACGCAATTTGAACACGCGCAATATTGGTGGCCACTACCCGGCGCAGCAGAAGCCAGGATAAAATCCGGAGTGCCCGTCTCCAGAAATTGCTCCCACAATTCGGAGTCGCCGCTGCGGGAGTACTCAGTCCTTGTGCTCGGAATGGAGAGGTTCGACTCTGCTGCCGTTTGGAAAGACAGCGTGGGTGAGGTACTTGGCTCGACAATGGTGGAGAAATCGGACGCGGGCTTTGTCGAACAGGTTGGCGGGCCCGATTGCCGCTCGAACAGTTGCACTCTCTCCTTGAACGAGAAATTCTGTGATTGGATGGGCCTGGGCTCGTCTACTCTGGGCTGACTGGCCCGGGGCTGATAGGTCGGTTGGAGGTTGCGGCTAGGCCCCGATGATTGTTTTTCCTGGTGAGGACCGCTGTTTACGTTGGAAGGTGGGTTTGAGATGTCCTGTCTCGGTCTTTCGTCGTCATCCCTTCGGATGGGGAGTATTCTCTTCCCGGATTGCGCCATGCTGCTCGAGCGGTACTGCAGCTGCAAGGGTTCGGGATTTCAGCGTGTGATACGGCGTTGATATCTTTTCCTCTATATAGGAGCCGGGGTCCCGCTTGGGAAGAACAATCTTGTCATCTGTTCCGTTCTTCACCTTGATTGCCCCTTGACGCTTTAAGGACGTCACAGGAACTGCGGCTGGACGGTTCTGCATTCAATGTTGAGCTAGGCCAGCCTCAGGGGCCAACGAGGCCGAGACCCCGGGTGGAAACTTTGATGTTTCCGCAGGAGGACTCCAAGGACGTTGAGGAGCTTGGGGCTTCGAGGTTTCCGGGACTGGTTGAGATGGTCCTTCTCTCTTGCCCTGAGTAGTGGTCTGGGCCACATCCCTCTCCGAGCTGTCGTCTTCGGATACGAAGGGACGCCTGTATTTGCTCTGGGCTTGCTCCTCAGCTTTCCTCAAATCTTATCTGGACTCAATCCAGCGGATGGAATTTAGCACGGGGGACGCCGCCCATAAGACACTCTTTCGTCTTTTTGGAAGATTGCTACGCCGAGTAGCATCAATGCTGGGCTTCGGCGAAATTGAGGTCGACAGAGAGCGGCCCACTACCAGCTTCTTGCCATGGTTGGGTGGATCGGGCGAGGATTGGGAGGGCTTCAGTCTCGGTCTCTGAACCGGCAAATTGTCTGTCTTTGTGACGGCAGTCCCAGCTCGGCTATCACCGTCGACGAGGCTTGGGCGCCTGTGTCGGGGCGGAGGCAGAGGCACATTCTGCGCGGTCATCAACCGCCTCGACGGCTGGACCTTTGCCCTCTCAGTTTCCTTAGTTTCCTCTTGCTTGGGGCTGATCTCTTTCGGTTCTTCCTTCTTCTTTTTGGCCTTCTTTTTCTTCGTCGTTTTCTTTTGGTAGATTACATATAGAAGATGATGGTGAAGGAAGATGATCACGGAGAGATCAAATCAAGAGGAGTGGTGGCCGACATGGGAGAAGTATGCAGTCTTAACGTCATAAATGGGACGAGGAGGAATAGTAAGAATACCAGAGAGCTCTTCGGTACGGTTGAGCCTGATAAGATTGAACGAGGAAAGCAGGATTGCGCGCTATGGTGTTTGTGATCGCAAATAGCGAATGCAAACACAACGGAGAGACGAAGGTTGGCATGCTAATTCCACTTGGAGGGACTGGCTTTTGGCGCCCACAGAATGAGATGACGCGCTATCTGTAGAGCTGCCCAATACGGTGGAGATACGATAATGCAGTAATGCATCCCGTCCTTGAACGTCTTCCCGCCCATCTGCCCCCCTGGCTCGTTCGCACTCCCTCCTCAATCAATGCGTGTCCAATTTGCCATTGGCATTGCTTTTCAGTAACAAGTCTTTACGAAGGAATCCTTCACGAAGACCAAAATCACTGGCACGTCAAATTAATTTACGGCCACAATAACAACAAGGTCTCGAAGCGTTAATCAGCTTGCTTGCAACTGCCTAAACTACGGCCCATCGTCCCTGACGTAGTGACGTGCCCCGGCGTTCATCCGGTCTTTCCAGGCACCAATCCACCAACTTTTCTCGACCCCTCAGTTAACGCCCGGCCAGAACTACCTCCCGCTCCCCCTGCCTCCCTTCCTCCTCCCCAATTTCCTTTTCCTTATCATTCAAGGCTAACAACCAACCCTTTGCGAGATAGACATGGCCTCGAGATCCGCTTAATTGCCCCTTTTCCACTCGCTCGTCATTGCCCAGACACAGCTCGAGCATCCGCAGAAACGATAACTGATTCCCGGGCCAGTGTATTTTGACGGCAAATCCAACGAACTGTGCGCGAGAAATTCCTCCCACCTTTCCGAGTAGGCACTCCGCGCGTACTGCGCCTTCGTGCTCAATGAAGACGAGACGACGGTCGAAGCACTTTCCTCGGGGTTTGCGCTGCTGTGATCGCTCTGATGTGTTCGAGCGGTATAGAACGACGACGGGATTGATGAGGTATCTGACGGGATATCGCGACTTTTGGGGCCGGTTTGGTGCGCTCGGGCTGTGTGGAAAGAAGCTGTTGAAGCCTCTGATGGACCGATGGTCTTCCTGGCTTGATGGGTTTTGGCGGCTCGGAAAGACAACGCCGGTGAGCTTGGGGTACCAGACGTGCCGTTCGATGAGGAACCTCACTGAGCCAATTGACCCTAGAAGAATGCCAGTCGCTCCTTGAAGGAGATATTCTGCGGTCGGACGGGTTGGGGCTGAGCCAATCTGGGCGGATTGGTCTGGGCCCGGAAAGTCGATTGCTGTTTGTGACTGGGTGACGATGACCGCTTCTCGCGGTCGAACGTTTGATGGTCCTTCCTTGGTATGGGAAGCTTGCCATTGGGCGTTTTCCTGACTTTGATCGCCCCTTGACGTTTCAACGACGTCGAAGCGACTTCTGTTGGGCGGATCTGCGTCCGATGTTGATCCAGGCCATTCTTCGGAGCCGGGGAGGCTAAAAATG